ATTCAAGACCCTAGTCTCCTCTAATAAAATCCGAAACACAGCGTTTGGTGAAAGATTTTCGACGGGATAAAACCGACGAAATAACCGGAAATTTGAACGCATGTCTATTTATGTAGGGAGAAGATGGCCAATTTACTTGACTACTCCATTTCTGTCGATCATTGTCATTTGATAAGTAAAACGGAGAGACGAGAATTACAAGACATTACATGTATTCTTCGCATGCTGGAAGCTGACCATGTATCATCAACGTTCTAATCTTTGATCGTTGCTTTCGTTCTTCAGTTTTCTTCTTCTTGTAGGAAGAAGAATCTGTTGTCCCAAGTACGTACAAAAGATGATGTACGCTTGGGTTTTGCATCGTGTTATTGTTTATTTGCTTATTTTACGAATGATGTGGAAAATAAGTTTACTGTAGTAGAGATATGTTAGTTTTTGGGCAGGTATGTTGAAATTGGGTGGTTTTTTTTTTTTTCTGGGACTCGATATGGATTTCATAATTTCTTGAGTTTTAGTGCTGTAGCCCAAGTGAAAATTCAATGCACATTTGGCTATTTATTTTATGGGATTGGGAGTCATATATGATGGGAAAGGGAATTGGTCTCTAGCCTGGAGCAGACCCCAGTTATAGGGGCTACTATAGCTCTAACCTAAGCAGAGTATTTATTTTGGGCAAGTCTTTCCACCGCCCTTTACCAAAAGCCGCCATGGATGAGCTATAGATGATATCTCCCTCGTCATCCCCATCATCCGCTGTTCTCCAACAAAGTCTAACCATACTTGTATGACCGACGCCGAGTGGTTCTATCTCATGTCCCGTGCTCACTCTTTCCGCTCTGGCAAGGGGGCTCCCGGGAAGGCCCCGAGCACAGGTTCTGTGGTGGTTGGCAGGTGGCCACGGCCTCATTCACTTGTCTGATAACTGCCAGCAGACTTCAAGAAGCACACTCCCACGGCCTTCTCACCCTCGTCTGCACTCCCACTTCCCGTGCGGGTGCAATGCCTGGAACTGCAAGTACAGACGTGGGACATATCTTCCGGGGACATGGCCATTATTGATGGTGGAACTCCGGGAGATGACTTCGACCTCCACAATCTCTGTTCACTATCTAAAGGTGTGGTTTCATAAGTAATGAGATTATGCTGGTGGTTTGACCCCAAGAAAAAAGAAAAGATTCTGCTGGTGGTGACACATGATTGAATCAAAGCCAAATTAGCTAATTACCAGCTGCATCTTCAGCTTCGATTCTCATTCTGTGGGTGGTACGCGCCAAATGGGCAATAAAATATGTAAGGCTATTGGATTATCAAATAGGCTCGAAATGGTGATAGGATGATAAGTCCATTTTTTTCCCGTGAGCTAAAGGGAAAAAGATTGATAGAAGAATAAGAAAAGTACGATATCGGATTTAAATTGGCGCGTTTGGTAAGACGTCGGAGTAGTTCTCAACAGACAGTAATTGAAAGAAAGCTGATAGGAGTGAGGGAAAGGTCAATCCGACTACCATCCATATAACACCACTCCATATATATATATATATATATATATATATATATATATATATATATATATATATATATATATATATATATATATATATATATATATATATAATATATATATATTATAACACCAATCCATATAACATCAATCCACACGCACGCACACACATATATTATATGTATGTATGTATGGGACCGGCTACCATGACGGTCTCCATAAAACGACGGAATTGATAGTCAATGGTCAGCCACAAATTTTTATTTTTTATTTTTTGTGGAAACCGGTAAACTTCCTCAACCGATTTTAATTTTTGACTTTATGTTTCTTTTTTTTGTTTGGGCTTCTATGTTTTCTTGTTGTAAGTTCATATTGAGAGACAAAATCATAAGATGGCCCACAGAATCAATTTTTTTTTAATATGAAGAAAGAAAAAATAAATTAGATATCGAAATATAAATAATTACAAGTAAAAAAATAGTATCACTTACTAAAAAGAAATTTTTAATGTGATTATATAGATCTATTAAATTTTAAAGATGAAAAAACATTTGAAACGTTGCCTTTTAAACTAATAATGAAATAATTGTACAATGAAATGGCTTCTCATTCCTTCCGATCAAATCAAATTGTCTAGAAAGACTCTTCAGTGACCGAAAATTAAGACTAGTGATATTGATTATGCATAAGAAAAATGAAGTTAAGAAAAGATCAAAATAAGAATAATGAATTAGTAGAGAAAAAATTTACCCGTCGATCCATATCTCAAAGATGAATATGCGTTGGGACCTAAAACATTACAAAATCAATCTTAAAAACACATGCGTCAAAGCTAAAGTTAAAAAACAATTTTCGATTGATTTTTATACAAATTTTACCTAAAAAGCTCCAACGTTTGGTTCATTGAGAAGATTCACATGACCACAAGACACATGACACTATATCATTTCATACTATTAAAAAGTCAATTTATAGTAAGGTATTTTATTTCAAAACAAAATAATAACAAGCATAAGCAACGATTGAAAACCTTCGATTCTTTCTTGATTGCATATCAAATTTTGAGAATAGCTATGGTGACTCATCTGATCTGAGTTCTCACTTGAGTGAAAATCAATGAAATTCCTCGTGCACTCGTCCTGGCAGATTGTATTTTTTAATTCAACCAGTAGACGCTATGACAAAATCCTACAATAATTGTAAGTTCAAAGTGTACAACATAATTACATTTCTATTCTTTTTAGTTTATTAGGTTTTTTTATTTAGGAACGATATCCACATAAATAGGTCTGGAAATACCATATATGTTTGTTAAGACCACTAACACTAGCAACTGCAAGATTGTTAACCTGGTTGGTAACCATTTCTTGGATTGGTAGTGTTACCTTGGCTTTTAGTTGGAAGGATAATAATAGGAGGGAGATTTGGGTGAAGATCAACCGGATGGTTACCCTGCCTTCTGGATGCTGTATTATATTGGTTGGAGTTCGTGTTTTGAACAACTTGTTGGGAATTTGGTTTTCTAATTCCCATTGTTATAGTAAAACCACCTGATTCCGATTGATTGATCTAGGGATGATCGTATTGGCTCTAGAGATACTAGTGAGAAGGAGGGTTTCCCTTTGATTGTCTTTGAACGTTTTGCTTCCAAATGCAAAAGGATAGCCTTATAATGAATCATCTAGACAAGAGCAAATGGAATAGATACATCCGCTATCTTATAATTATGTATCTTAATCCAAAGGGTTAATGAATTAAGAATATTTTTATCTTTGAGTGATATTGAGAAATTGGGATAACAACCAAATTGGATTGAACCACTACAGAGACTTGTTTCTTCAATTCATAAGATTGATTCCTCATAATTTAGGAGGCGTGAATCTCTTAAAACTAGAAGGATAGATATGCTTAGTCCTTCTTTAGTAAGAGGTTTGATGCCTATTTAGACTAGTCCTATATGAATGTAATTAAACTTTTGCTTATGCTTTTTGAGAGATTCGTGATTTAAAAGTTGAATTGATTCAAATTGGAAAGAGGAATATATCTTTATTCTGTTGTGATAACGTAATCTAATTTTTTGAAAAATTTATATTTTTTTTGGTGACCCGGGAACCGCCGTACAGCCGACAGCCGGTGACGTAAATCCGGACCGACGCTAGCGCAGGGACCCACCACCCACGGCGCCGCACTTAAGTCGCGCAATATGCGCGCGTGGAGAATCGGAAACCCCCCCCCCCCCCCCCCCAGCGGGATAAGGGATGTCCGCCCGAGCCAACGCGCCCACAGCGGGGTGGGTAAAATTTATATTTTTGATTGCTGATAAATTTGATTAAGTTGGACTTTAGGGATTTCCCAATTTTCTATAAATTTATTGAAATCTTCTGTGTTTATTTCTTCTTTATGTATAGGACCTTGATTAGAAGACATTTGTAATATAGAACTAAAGACATTGATCTTGTTAATAAACTCATCCTAACAAGTTTGTTTTCACACTATCTAGGCTACCAACCAGAGCTGACCAACATACTCACTACCCCTATGGGCTTTATCACCGGGACTGCTGTTGATTAAACACACCTCACCTAAGATAGGTTCAAGCCAAACTTGACAAACCTGTTAAAACATTTTTACTAAGCTGACTAATATTTCCCCTTTTGCTCTAAGATGGTTTACTAAGTTGATTAATTTATATATATAATAGACTGTTGGTTGTGTTTGGAGTTGAATCAATAGAGTGGAAGGATGCGTTAGGATTAGGCACACAAACACAACGAAGTAGAGAGTAGAAGCGAGAAAGAGAAATCGAGACACAAGGCTATCTTGGTTCACTCATTCGGTTACATCCAACAGAGGATTCCACTATAATTAGCACCTCCTAATTCTCTGTTAGAACTCTCAATCACGAGAGAAAGAAATTATATATAGGTAGCAGCTATTCATGAGTCTAAACTAAAATTACTAATAAAACACGGGCCAAACTATAAAAACCCTCTGGCGTCGTGGGGGCCCTTCTCGCCTACCGGGGAGCAGGACCCATGTGCCTTCCTATCGATGTGGAGTATGAACCACACCCCAACGGGATGGCTATATGATTTCCCAATTCTTGATGGATTCTCTGAGTGTGACACTTATTCTCAACCAACGGCCAACCATTTATTAAATGGGATAACCTAACACAGAAGCCATTCTTGTCATACACGCTAGAGCGAAGTGAATGCGCCTAGATCCGAAGAGGCGGAGGCCCGAATCCTTTTCTCCCCAAAGTTTAGGTAATCTAACTTCATAGAAAATGATGGTGAGACTCGCAACTCTTTCGGTTCCGTCCGCTCAACCATCTTCTCAAAAGACCGAATGACATCTTTACACTAAAAATCCATGGAAAAACAACATTAATTCAGACCACCTTAATCCGCTCACCGGCCTTATTTTTCCTCTCTTGCCCAAGAATCGTGCCTTCATATCTGCTAGATTAATGGGCTGTGTCTTGATGGGGCCCATCCCAATTTTAAAAAACAGAAAAGAAAAAGAGAGAGTGAGGAGGGAAAAAAGGAAAGAAGATAGGGGCCTCCAAGACGTCTTTCCAATGCTTGCTTGAAAGAAATCTCCAAGTTCTCACATGGGGCAACCAGGCTCCCAATAGCCATCCCCACTTGCACTGCCCAAGTGGCAGCCTAAATCAATCGGTTACCAACTGGCACTCGCCCCCACAAAAAGAGATATAACAACAAAAATCAAGGCTCGTTGTTAGCCCACCCCCATTTTCCAAATCTGACCACGCAAGTCATCGCAAAGCTGGGGTCTCCTCCACAGAAAGTTCTTGGTCAAGCTTTCTACATAAAATTACTATTGGTGTTGATCAACGGGGCATGGAGAAGTGGTCATGTTGGACCTTTCTTCTTCGCGTATGATCTATACGCATGAGCATCGGGAACCATCGGGGAAATGCGATGGATAGTGTTCTTATTGAATGTGAATACCTAGGAAACTAGCATGTCCACATGTACAATGCCTCATAATTTTGGCAAACAGGTCGACACACTCTTCCGTTGGTAGTTGAGCAGCAATTGATACTCGAAACTACTCGCCATTAATTCAAGGCTTTATCATTTCCAGCTTTCTTCCATTTAATACTACGCAGCCTCTCAACGAAACATACGCATTACGACTTAGGAGCCAAGGGGGGAACCTCAGAGAAAGGGCGGGGCGTCCCTCTCAACGAAAACCTAATCACGTCAGCGAGACGGGGTTGCCTTGGCCTCCTCGTTCGTGTTATAAAGCGTTGCTGCTGCTGCTGCTGCACGAGCCCAAATAAGAGGAGAGATCGTTTAACATACTCTCGCAGCTGAAGCTCTGATGGAGGGACGTCCTAGAGGGAGGGATATGGATAGCATTGAGATTCTGGACAAGGAGAGACTCACGGCGGAGATGGCTTTCGACAAGGACTCGTCCTCCGCCGTCATCAAAATCCGACGGCGCTTGCCGGACTTCCTCCAGTCCGTGAAGCTTAAGTACGTCAAGCTAGGATACGGCTACTCCTGCAACCTCGCCACCGTACTTAAGTTCGTCGCCGTCGTCCCTCTCGTCCTTGCCATCCTCATTCATCTCACCGGCCTTGACCAGGCCCGCCTCTCCGAGATGTGGAGGAGCCCAGCTGTCGCGCTGGATGGCATCAACGCATCCACGGCGAAAGCCGGCTCCGCGCTGCTCTTGCTGCTCCTCTTTCTGTACGTGTCGAAGCGAAGCAGGCCAGTGTATCTGGTGGACTTCGCATGTTACCTACCGGACGACAAGCGGAAAATGTCCGTGGAGTCGTTCCTGAAGATGAGCGAGGAAAGCGGTGCGTTCGAGGAGGACACGCTCCAGTTCCAGAGGCGGATCTCGAGCCGGTCCGGCCTAGGGGACGAAACTTACTTCCCTAGAGGGATCACGTCTGCACCCCCGAACCTATGCATGGAGGAGGCGCGGTTGGAGGCGGAGGCCGTCATGTTCGGGGCAGTGGACGCCCTTTTGGAAAAGACTGGGGTGAGGGCGGAGGACGTGGGGATACTGGTGGTGAACTGCAGCTTGTTCAACCCAACGCCGTCACTATCGGCCATGATCGTGAACCACTACAAGCTGAGGACGGACATAAAGAGCTACAACCTCGGGGGAATGGGATGCAGCGCCGGGCTGATATCCATAGACCTGGCCCAGAACCTGCTGAGAGCCAACCCAAACACCTACGCGCTGGTGGTGAGCACCGAGAACATCACCCTCAACTGGTACTTCGGGAACGACAAGTCGATGCTGCTGTGCAATTGCATATTCCGCATGGGTGGCGCTGCCGTGCTCCTCTCCAACAGGGCCCGAGACCGGAAGCGCTCCAAGTACCAGCTGGTGCACACAGTGCGGACCCACCGGGGAGCAGACGACCGGAACTACCGGTGCGTGTACCAGAAGGAGGACGAGCGAGGGACGGTGGGGGTGTCGCTTGCCAAGGAGCTGATGACGGTGGCAGGGGAGGCCCTCAAGATCAACATAACGACGCTGGGGCCGCTGGTGCTGCCATGGACGGAGCAGTTCAAGTTCTTAGTGACGCTGGTGAGGAGGAAGGTGATGGGGGCCAAGGTGAAGCCCTACATCCCGGACTTCAAGCTGGCCTTCGAACACTTTTGCATCCACGCGGGCGGGAGGGCGGTGCTAGACGAGATGCAGAAGAACATGCAGCTCAGCGACCGTCACATGGAGCCGTCCCGGATGACGCTCCACCGCTTCGGCAACACGTCCAGCAGCTCCCTCTGGTACGAGCTGGCCTACACTGAGGCCAAGGGTCGGGTCCAGAGCGGGGACAGGGTCTGGCAGATCGCCTTCGGGTCCGGTTTCAAGTGCAATAGCGCCGTCTGGAGGGCGTTGAGGGGCATCTCGGCCAGCGATTGCGGACCCAACAATCCCTGGCTCAACTGCATACATAGGTACCCTGTGCCTGTGCCCACGGCCTCCGCGATGGAAACGACGAAAAGTGTAGCCAAATCCCACACGTCCTCTTGATTCATTAAAGCGACAACACAAGCCGTGCATTTGAGACTGAATTAGGTGGTGGACCAGGACTACTCTCCCTCTCCCTCTCTCTCTCTCTCTCTCTCTGCATCTATTATTACCAAGTGTATTCATTCAAAGAAAAGCCTGTTGACTGTATAATTGGGTAGTGATTTTCCAAAGCAGAGGCAAGAATTGATTTTATTACGTCAATGCAATGGAAAACAAATAGAGATGAATATATGATATCTATGTGTGTTCCCCGACTTACTGGAATGACCAAGAATGGAAGTCATCAAGAAAAGATAGGATATTTCCGTCGTTCAATCTCTCTGTTTTTCATACTTGAATTTGCCTACCTTCAGCAAGTTTAGAATCTCTCTCTCGTCATGACTACATGCCTATCCCGTTGTTTGGTTCTCCAGACCAGAGAGCAGTTGCTCTTTAAATTCTTTTTCCTATTTCGAAAAGCCTAGTCCATGAAGCTGTCTTTTTCGATTTCATCTGTCATCCTTCCTCGTGGACATTACGCAGCCGTGTGGCGAAAACCTTGCCTTAGTCTCGGTATATACATTCTGATGGTGGACTAGCTGGTGTGAACAGTTAAGAATTTGGATTCTTCTCACGTAAATCAGGGCACATGACAGTCTTTTCTTTTGTGGCCTCACGCATGTATGAGGGGTAAACATCGCGCTCCGTTTTGTACGATGGACTAAATGTGGATAAGAATTCGGAGTGGAATAATACCATCGAGTTATTAGGATCGGGACCATGTAGCCGGCTTTCACTTTCTAATCTAATTTCAAAGGAATTACCATAAATATCCAGGTGATGTTAAATGGCCTCGAAAGTTATGGTTAAGCAAGGGTCTTCGAGGGAAGAAGCTACGCGCAGCTCAACTAGGGATGGTGAAACATGGCCAAAGGATTGGAAGGACAGAATTGTGAGTGGGGCTAAAGAGAGATTTGAATTGGGGGCCCAATTCTCACAAGACCAACCACAATCACACAACACTTTGGGATATATATATACCGGGGTCAGCTGAGAGTGAGAGACGTGGAATTAAAACTGGAAGGAGACGAAATCATGAAATGTGGGGCGTGCCTGACTCCGCCACTGCTGGTGGTCCTCCCTACAACAGCTGCTGTTTCGGCCACTCGTTCAGGCGGCCGCACCATCAAACTAGTCGTCTCTGCCAACAACCACTATGATCGGGCTAGCGGCGCGGATGTCGAGGGGATGAGCGGGTCGGATGTGCTCCGGGCCCTCGATAAAGCAACCGCCCATAAGAGGAGTAAGAAGAAGATGAAGATGGAGATGGAGATGGAGAAGACGAACCAGTTGAGTGCAGTAGCATCTCCGGCTGATAGATTGGTGGAAGACGTTAGGCCCCTGCGCATCGACTCCGGCTGGGCTGCGCGCTTGGACGAGCTTGAGGAGCGCCTTAACCATATCTCTAGCCTCCTCTGACTGCACGAATAAAGGAGATACAAAACGCATTTTGTAACATCCCTCTGTTTTGAGGATATATCTTCTCATTCCAACCAATTTTATGCACCCTTTCGTTTCCATGTAAGAGTTAAGAGTAATTATATGAGTTTTGGGCTACACCGAGCTATTGCTCCTCCCGCCCTGGGAAACCCGCACACACACGAACAAACTTAAGCCTTTTGTCTCTCTCTCTCTCTCTCTTTCTCTCCCCCTCTTTGTAAAAGAGTGTCTCTTCTTGCAACATTAGAAAATAATGTTCAACAAAAGTTACGATATGAAAAAGGGCCGGTGCTATTTTGTCTCCAGTCTGAAATAAACCAGCCAAAGGCAAACATTGAAGTCCAGCTGATCACTTCACCCGGAAGAACTAAAACCAGAAAACTGACCGGCCCCACCAACCCTAAATTCTACTTAAAGCCCGTCTTTGGCAACACCAAGGTCTTAACTTCACGTCTTCTAATTCTACTGGACTCGGCTATGCATCTCTTTACCCCCCACCCCCCAAAGAAAAGGAAAAAATTTTCTTCTTGAATATGTCAGACTTCTTGTATCTGCCGGACGCTGCTAAACGTTCTTCTGGACACAAATCCCACTACCAAGTAAAGTGATATTACATCAATCGAGAATGATTAATTCTGATTCCTCAGGAAACTGGATGATGTAGGACATTAGCCACACTCTTTATCCGCCACTCTCTTACATCTGGCAAGTCAAATGGACACTAGTTAAGTCATCCATGGAAGGCCTTCCCTTTATCCAAATACCCAATCTCTCATCCATCCCACCAGTAACAAAAACCATCGTCTTCAATCCTAGTAGGGTCGATATCTTCTGCTTCGGTTGCCCTCATCGCCACTGCTCCCTCGTCCTGGCTGTGCACCAGTCCCATTGTTCCGATCAACTCTCCGAGGCCGAGGAAGAGGCATTTGTACACCAGGTTGTTGTCTGCATAAACCCAAGTAGAAAAGGTACAGACAGAGACATATTCAAGACCATTTCATCACCACCAAATGAATATTCAACTTCAAAATTATACTATTACTTACAAAACATAGCCTATTCGACCATCTGGCAGAACCATTGGCACCATATGCATCCCCGACGGCATTGGTCCCCTACCATATATCACCGGCTGTTCACGCATGACAACAGATCAGCTAAAACTAGATACATGGGACATAACCAAGTAAGAACCAAAGGGGAAAACAAATAACACAAACAGACCTGCTGAAAACTGGAAGAAACACCATATCCCGTATTCATAGATCCATATGGATTAGCAATAAAACCACCGTAGCCAGGATTTTGAAGATGGTTAGCCTGAAGCCCGATACTCAAGCTATCAGTTTTCTTCTCAGTCTGAGGCTTGGCAAGGACAACCTCCAACGCATGTCCTACAATTTATATTCCCAAGACATTATCAAAGGGTCACAAACAGAATTGCAATGTTTCATGGACCCACCTACGTAGGCTTTTTCTCGACAACGAGAAAAAAATACTGCAAGAAGACCAAATCAAAGATGACAGCTTGGAGGCAAGTATGGTTCGCAAGTCTATTATCAGGCCAACAAGAGTGACTGCTTCACCAACGACATAATAGTCCTAAGTTCCGAGCCATGAAAAACAATTCAAAATTAACCATCACAAAGAGGAAGCACAACCCTCAAATCAATTGTTCTGATGAGACAGAATAGACGTAGTCTATATCTTACTCTGACACTCTTAGAACTGTTTCAAGTGACATATGGGGCATCGAGAAACCCACAGAAATTCCTAAAGATTGAAATTTCTTTTATCCCTAAAGTAATTAAACCCACCCTAAACATTATCATTTTGTGGGCTCACAGAAGCAGTAATTGCAGACATGTGCATCTGAAGACAACAGATAAACAGAGATGCAATTCAATTTTCTTGCCCCACGCTGCCCCTTCAATGTAACTAAATTAAATCAACAAGCCACGGAGTAAGTCCGAAAATTTTTACCATCAATTTCATATTTCTCAGAATCTTTGACAGCCTTTAATGCACTTGACCTTTCAGCATAGTGAACAAATCCAAAATCTCGTTTGCTACTCCCAGATTTTGAAGGCGGCATGACCACCTTTGTCACTTCTCCATGACGCTGGAATATTTCCTTAAGTTGTTCGGTAGTGGTATTATCAGGGATGTTCTTCACATAAAGAGCCTTCACCTAATAGAATAAAAGCAACCAAGTGATCTCACATGATTAGCAGCTCATAGATGATTACTATTAAGACAAGCTATAAGAGACAACTAGCACGGAAAAACCAGCACTGCATCTAAATAACTCAGTAAATGCTCACCACAATATCCTAAGCCACAGAAAGTACACAAGGTTCCTGTCATCCATATTTACCTCAGAAGTGGTTCCTTGGGTCATATTCCATGATGCAGATGGAATATGCCAAGTTGTCAAGTTCACTCAAAGAAAAAATTAAACTTACTTACACTATCCCAGCCCCAAACACAGCCTTGCAACCAAAGAGTACAGAAAATAAAAAGGAAAAGGAAGAGACAGAGAGAGGGAGGGGGGGTTACAGATGACAAACTCACACAATTTCATGGGATGAACATTTCTCCAAGTTTCTTGTTTAGCAACTTACATTTCTTATATTTTTTTTTTTGGTAAGGAACTTACATTTCTTATTCGTAAGTAAAAGATCGGAAATCGGCAATCATGTAACAACCACTTAAATGTTACCATCAGAATTTCACACTTGCGACAAAACATTCGGTTTGAATCATAACTACTTAACACCGCATTGGGACCCTTAAAAATTTTTGGTACACAAACTTGGTTTTCCTATCAGGTTTACTTATTTCTATTTATTCATTCCCATCAATACCCTTACCCCCCATGTTAATGAAAACAAGGTAATGAAGCACTTTCCTTCCAAGATTTCATATACCTTCCCCAAATGACCTGGGGAAAGGGAATGAAGATCTCAATCCCATTCCATTGGCCTTTCTCCATGTAATCAAACAAGCCTTGATCACACAAACATTTGCAATTAATGCATACTATCAAACTTTTGGAAGCACAAGCAATGAAAAGTGGAGCACTAAAACACCACGACAACATTCCAATGGCAGCAAGCACCTATGGCAACAGGTACTTTGTGAGTATAACTCATTCTATTGAGAAAAAACATGTGATAGCCGTAAATGATAGATCCACATTAGTTCAAGAAAACTAGTAGATGCCAGATAATACACACCCTCCCAACTCACAGCAAAGACTGCTCCTCCACACCCGACATTTTTCAGACAGGAAACACTGATTCTAAACGATCAGCGGGTGAGAAAAAACTCAAGAAGCCGCACAAGACTGTGTGCTTTGTCAGAATACCAATCATCAAACAGAAGATGTACGTGAAGGGGATGAAAAAATGTCTCATATGAAGAAGTTGAATATGCTTGTATCCTACAAAGAACAGGCAAAAGGCATTGTGTTGTAATAATTTCTTACCTAAGAATTTTCATTAACATGCCAAAGATATGATACTGGTTAGCTATTCCAGTTGTTTGTCTTAAGACTCTTCAAATATCATGAGTACTCACATCAATGTCAACATAACAGAGTTCCAGAGCCAAAAGAAAAAATCACAATGTACTAAAACATGCAAGATAAAAAGATAAATACTATGCTATTGATCGAAGCTGTAAAAAGTAAACTAGTCAGTTAGGCTCAAGCATTAAAAAGACGAATTAGTAGCATAGTTTCATTTACAGATACCTGAGATGCAGCAGAGTGATCAGGTGCACTCTTTGGATCAGCCCACGTGACAGTAGGGGTATTGCCATCTAGCTTGAAACTAGAACTTGCCATTTTTTGCCTCGAATAGTCAGCACATGCATTATTGTAGTACAAAATGAAAGCAAATCCACGATTACGACCAGGATTTTGAGGATCCTGTTCTCAATAAGAGAAAGAAAAGACAGCATGAGCATTCAATTACTCATCCACAACAGAATTCTAGAGAACTACCAAAATCAAGACCCACCTTTATCAGCTCTATGTTTTCAACCCCAGGTCCAACGTCCTCTATGACTTTTCTAAACTCATCTTCTGTCCAAGACTTGGGAACATTACCAATGAATAACCTGTTTTTACTTTCTGACAGTGAACATCTCAATGTTTTACCCTGCAGCGACAATATAATGTTCAGCCTAGCCTCGAATGGAGTTAAGCAAGTATATGAGAAATCCTTCAACAAAACAATTACCTTGAACTCTTTACTATGCAACTCCTCAATGGCTCCCTGTGCCATTTCCCGTGTCCGGTAAGCTACAAAAGCATAACCTTTGCTTTCACCAGTGCCCTTGTCCTTCATTAACCTAATCTGAACAATTATTGCATTACAATATGATAATCCAGCTCGACAAAAATCCTAGCAATTCAAAAGCACAATAAGTCACCGTTCTAACCTCGCAAATTTCTCCAATTGGTTCACATAGATCTCTTAATTCTTCTTCCAAAATATCCCGCGGAAGGCCTCCAATAAAAACCTCACTTCCATGAGGAGGAAGGGCAAGAATTTGAGCATGCTTCTCTTTCTCCTCGGCACTCAAGGACACAGCCGGCCTTTCTTCATCCTCGACAGGATTGGCGGCAGCATGACTTCTGTCTATGTCCGGGGATTGGTCCTCCCCAGCAACCCCATCTTTGGAGTCCTCAATTTCTTCAGCATCATCATCTGCATTATCTTCATCGGCCCCATCTCCTGCATCCTCGTCCTGCTGCTCTTCGATTTCATCATCAATTTCTTCTTCCATGTAATTATCTTCATCCAGGTCAACCCGCTCGTCAACTTCCGTGCCATCCCCCATATTTGCTCCACACTGAAAGGTTTCTTGTGTGAGAACTATACAAGAGCGGCACCTAATTTAGAACCAAGCTCGTGAAACTGCATAAGTGCACGTAGAGAGTAGCAACCTATTCCCAAAGGAGAGCACTGTAGAAACATTCATGATGCTCCATAAGGATGGAGCAACACCAATCAATTCAAATCATCCGGAGAGATGACAGAGAAAACTCTCCAAAGGTCTAAATACAACGGATTACCCAGGATCCTTTCACCTTTTTACCAATCAAAAACAAAAATTTGGGGAAAGCAAATATGCGGATCTCCTTCTAACGTGAAAGCCAAATAAACCGGTACATTCCCAGTTTTTCTTGCAATATAATGGCAGCTAAAAAAGAAGCCTTTGAACAAAAAAGTAGGAACGTTTCCCAAGCCCCCAAATAAATATATAGGAGATATAACTATGGTATGGAAAAGAAAAGAAGAAAAAAAAAAAAGAAGCAAACTTGGCTCACCGGAGAGAAAATCTCTCTCAAGAAGAGTCGACATGGAGCATGGAAAGGTCAAGAATTGGACTGTTGCAGTAGATTCGCAGGAGAAACGGACAGAGAGGTGGAAAATCGAAAACCTGAAGAGACCCAGCTAACACACAATATATATATATATATATATATATATATATATATATGCGGCGAATACACGGAAACCCTATATCTGAAAATTACGATCGGACAAGACAGAGGAGGAGGAGGAGGAGGAGAAGGAGACCAGGAGGCAGCGCGGCGCGATGTATCTCGTTATAAATGCTGGGAAGACCGGACAGGAAAAACCCACAAACAGGGAAGTCAGCCCGAAGGGGGAGATTCACAAGGCGGAGAGGAACAGACACGGGGGACTGAAAAGGGGGGGATAAAGAGCTTCGACAACGAGAGAAAGAGGGCACAAAAAGAGAGGAGGAAAAGCGGGACAAGTACCCGAAATCGAGGCCGAGGATGTCCTAAGAAACTCAGGCCGGAGGCGCGATGGATGGATGTCGGGCACGCTCACGACTTCCTGCTCCGCCTCGCTCAGCTGCAGTTTGCAGAGGAGAGGGGCTGCTCTCGCGGTTCCCTTCTCCTTAATTTGTCCGACCACGAAATGAGAAACGAGAAACGAGAAACGAGAGGAGGGGTGGATGGGTGGGTGTGGGGTGGTGCGTTTCTCTTCCCACTTCTCCAGAAGCACCCTTTTTAAGGAAGACAGTGTGAGGCAGCAGTGAATGCTATTGGGCCTCTCCAAAAGCCTTTTCAATGCCATCCTCCATGGGCCTCTCGGCCCAATTTGTGTTTCCGGTTGAAAAGACGACAAATTGATACTTTGGCTTGCTCTTATGTCGATAAGCGAAAAAAATGTAATGCTGTTCGATTCAAAGTCTCAACCAATCAATTTTCATTCATTCGGTCCGGTCCTTTTGATGCTAGAAAATCACGTAAAACGTTGCTAAATACACAGAGACATGGGAACGATAGAACACTAAGGCTACTGTGGCTCCAGGCCAAGAACAAGGACGGTCCATCTTGAACTAGTTTCTTACACTCTAATATCTCGATCTCATTCTCCATCTAAATATGTCATTATCAGCGTACCGGCATGCACAATGTGCAATTAATGTGAACGGATGGAGTTGAGCAGCTTGGTTTCCACTTCGAGACCTAAGAGTGATGAAGTCGCAGCTCTAATGGGTTTTGGGACCGATTCGAGTACAAACTCTAGCATCTCCGTAGACTTTTCCGAGTTTGCAATAGTAGCCCTTGTTGGTGCGCAGTGTGCATCTTGTGAACAAATGCAGAGTCCCTCGAGTGCACATCCGTCCCTGACTATGCTCGCTCCGTCCTTGAGTCCAAGAACTTGGTCTGTCCATTAGCTAGAAAACAGCCCCAGTTGGATCCTACATCTCCTTCGCTTTCAAAAATTCTTGGGCTTTTCTGTATCTTTTGATCGCTCCAGTGAACGCCAAATTCCCATTCTTCCACCAATGAGGCAGTGTGCCGTACTTGATTAGCACCATCTGTTCTATTTCTTCGAGCACGTCTTCGTATAGCCTCGGGCTCAGCGGATCCTTTGCTCCTTACAGTAAGTGATGTCGAAGTCTACAGCGTCCTCCTGCTTGCCCAAGTAAGGGCTAGAGGCCTTGACATTACGCATGAGGACGCCGCTGTAGAGCTCCACTCCGCACAACGCTTTAGTCTCTAGTGTAATGAGTTGTTGGATGTCTTCGATGAAGCTCTTGACCATAGAGTGTCCGACGCTGAATGTGGTTTGGTGAAAGAACTCACCCTTGACTCGTGGATCCCATGGACAAGCAGTGATCATACCGTCTTGAGGATTGTCCAGGCAGGTGGCTGAGGATTGCAGACACACCGAGGATTGTGAGGTATATATAAACTCCTCTCATACTTTAAGCGCTGAAGACAAGGGAAGGGGGTGAGATATGAGAAGCTCTTTTTGTGATTGCAAAAGATAAGTCAACAAGACAGAGTGTGATATATGTGAGAAATAGAGAGTAGCTGTACCGGAGAGATGACTCCTAGAACCTCAAGCAACACTTTGACCGCGTTCATATCTATATTATTGCTGTTCTTATTCACATCCAGCATCCTGATCGTAACGTAACCATCTCCAGGCCCTCTGGGATCTGCTGGTGGGGTCGCACTCACCAACAGGGTCATGGCGGTCGCAGCCATTACAATGATATCTAATTATGCCCATATTGTTCCGGAACCAAGCCTCCCCAGCCTGAACACATTGCTCAAGCAAGGAGATGTCATCATGAATGAATTGCACTTTACTAGCTAGCTTTAGCTCCTGATCGTAGTTAAAGGGTGTACGGTGGTTCACGAGTTTGGTGTACAAGGGAACGTAGGGAAGGATTGAGGAGGGTGGCTGTGTGTAAAGGAGGTAAAATTGGTCTAGAGCAAATATTTGATGTTGCAGGTCATAAATGAATTACCTTAAGTTTTAAAAATAGGCTTAAATGGGTTATAAATATGTTGCCTAACAACTTAATGGGGTGATAACTAACCCATTTTGTAACCCATATGAAAAATAGAGAACAAACCCATTTCTAACCCATTTCAAGTGAAGTTGGAGATGAGGCCAATTTTTAAAATTTTCTTAATTTTTTTATTATTTATTATATATTATTTTTTCTTTTTCTTTCGTTCTTTTCTTTTTTTTACGAAGTCTGGCGAGAGTCACAGGCCCTTGCCTAACTTAAAGAAAAAAGAAAATTAAAAAAATTAAAAAATCAATTTTTGTTAAAAAAATTATAAAAATTGTCTATTAGATTTGTATCGTATGAAAATGTTTTAACAATATATATTTTAAAAAAAAAATCAAAAGAAACAATCATTCATAAATTGGGTTAAATTTGAAAGTGTTTTAGTAATATGGGTCGAGTCAAGTATGGATCGCTAGATTTGTATTGGATGTAATAAGTCAAAACAAGTTATATTGGTCAATTTGGGTCGAACTATTTTCGACCCAATCTGATCCATTCGTTTGACTAGTGTAGTTGTGAGTGTGCTTTGAAGTTAAGAATGAATGTAGATGGCCCCCAATGGAGAGGGAAATTGACGGATTTCAATCGGCTCCGCTGGAAAGAGAGTTTGGAACTTATTCGGAGATGCGTGCGCAGGATGGTTGGCAGCAAATATAATGGATACTCCATTTGCATCAAATACTACCAAGTGTGACACAACGGTGCAATGCGCGGAGCGAGGGACAGGAAAGGTGTAAACATGTCTTCACGCTCCATTTTTGCTACCGTCTACTCAAAAATGAATATTGTCAGTGCATGGTGTGGACCTGGGCAAATGACTTGTTGCCAAGAAGAAGATCAGTCTGCCAAGCCCACCTGGACTCGTTCTATGCAGCTTAATTTCCAGATTAGTAGGTTGACCATATTAGTTTAATAATGGCAAAAAGAAAACAACAAACTCAAATGTTGACGAAACAGAGATGTAATCATTGTGAAGATGAAATGGAGTCAAGATGTGGTTCCTCAAGTTTGAAGTTCTCAAAATCTATACATGTCCAAAAACTTGATATTCGGACCCAAAAAAACAAAACTTGATATTGCTCACCCAAAACCAATTTTAACATGTTATTGCTATCAAAACTTATGATTTGAAAAATAGCATCATCCAATATTTATCACTAGCACTTTATTGGTAAGGTTACTTGTGAAATAGAAAAGATCCAAATTTTTAAAATTGAAATATATAAGAGGTAAAATAGAAATACGAAATTTTTGCATTCGTCCGTTTATATAAGACTTATAAAATATTTAATTGGGGGTATTCTGGAGAAGTAAAAGGATTATACTCCATCTTAAGTAGGAGGCCTTCTATACTTTAGATGATAGCACATATTATATTTTTTGGCTACAATGAGGTGTTGCACAAACAAAATTGCAGAAATTTGCGATCCCAAATTTAGTAAACAGGTTTTCTTTTGGGTTAATACCACGAAAAACCCTGAACTGGTACACTTGTGACAGATTTACCCCAAACTATTTTTTTGACCATAAAAACCCCAACCGATACATCTGACAATTTTACCCCGAACTATTTTTTTGACCACTAAAAACCCCAAAGTAGTACCTGTGACAATTTTACCCCGAACTATTTTTTGACCACCAAAAACCCCAACCTGGTACATGTGACAATTTTACCCGAACTAATTTTTTAATATTATTTTTTATTTTTCGAATTTTTTAGTTTTTCTTTTCTTTTCTTTTTCCTTTCCTTTTCTTTTTCTTTCCTTCATCTTCATTGGACCAACAATGGATTGTTATATTGTAATTGATACCACAATAACGTGACACGTAACATAAATGCTACATTTTGACCCAAAAAAAAACATAAACGCTAAATGAAAGACTTTCTTTTATATGCATGAATTTTCATGCCAACCACTTTTTCTACATTTAAATGTCTCGCGAAAAAGGTATTATATTGTTGTCGTGTCTTTCTTATTTTTGGGTGCAAGTGGATAGGCAACTGATGGGGTCCAACGTAGGCTTGTTACCTAAGCTTGGAGTACAGCTAATCAACAATTTCTATACGTCTTGCTTGCCAATTTAATTTAACAGATTAATTTACAAAATTAGTATATTTTATATATAAGATGAGAGATATTATATGTGCATGGCGATTCATAAATCAATATGATCACTTGAAATATATAATAAATAAAACGTGAGACATTTAAATGTAGAAAAAAGTGGTTGTCATGAAAATTCATGCATATAAAGAAAGTCTTTCATTTAGCGTTTATGTTTTTTTTTTGGGTCAAAATGTAGCATTTATGTTACGTGTCACGTTATTGTGGTATCAATTACAATATAACAATCCATTGTTGGTCTAATGAAGATGAAGGAAAAAAAACAGAAAAGGAAAGGAAAAAGAAAAGAAAAGAAAAACTAAAAAAATTCGAAAAATAAAAAAATATTAAAAAACTAGTTCGGGTAAAATTGTCACATGTGTACCATTTGGGGTTTTTGGTGGTCAAAAATAGTTCGGGGTAAAATTGTCACGTGTACATTGAAGTTTGGGATTTTGGTGGTCAAAAAATAGTTCGGGATAAAATTGTCACAAATGTACCGTTTGAGGTTTTTATGGTCAAAAAAATAGTTTGGGGTAAATCTGTCACAAGTGTACCAGTTTAGGGTTTTTCATGGTATTAACCATTTTCTTTTTGATGTAGAACGATTGGCATGTGATTATCTTGACAAACGTGATCGCCAGAAATTGACGCGATTTGGCCGTGACTGATGCCGGAGCATTCTTCCAAGACGTCGAAGGCAATTAATGATCTCTTATATTTTCGAGAGTAGTTGAATAATTTTAGATTTCCAGAATCTTTATTAATTGTGATTTGTTTTCTAGAAATTTATTACGATCTCTATTTTCCAAACTTGGATGGTTGTTCCTTATTCACCTATAAAAGGATACTACGATGAATGAGATGGAGACGACTATCAATTGAATTTCAGAATTACTTTGGAAAGCTTTTTTCCAGTTATAGCTTACCCTGCGTCATTTGGTATCAGAGCAAGGTTTCTCCCTGCGACGATGTCTCATAATGTGAATCGAAACACCTCCGTAACTGAGGGCGCTGAGCCTGTTACACGCGAGGAATTTACTCAGTTTGCTGAGGAAACTCGACAAGCTCTGCGAGACCACCAATGGACGATGCAAGAATTACTTGCCGCCATCCAACGGTTGTCTGCAAACCCTAACCCTAACCCTAGTGATCTTCCAGCAGAGCGTATTCCTGTCGCTCGAGTTCCCGAAGTAGCTATGGAGCGAAGGGCAACTACCCGACAAAGGCATCAAGACTATGTCGAGGATTCTGAAGAAGAAGATGAAGAGGATTTCCAGGACATGCCTATTCGTGAAGGTCGCCGTTATGGAGGATTTCAAGGAGAGCATGTTCGTGGGGGTCGTCAACATGGAGGATATCGGCGAGAACACGAACAATATCAAGTGAAAGTCGACCTTCCTACCTTCAATGGCAACTTAAACATCGAAGACTTACTAGATTGGCTCTGGGAGTTTGAGAAGTTCTTCGATGCCATGGAGATCAAAGAGGACCGCCAAGTAAAGCTCGTGGCATATAAATTGAAGGGCGGCGCCTCAGCCTGGTGGGAGCAAACACAACTTTCCCGGCGTCGACAAGGGCAAGCACCTATCCGAACTTGGAATCATATGAAGCAGTTGCTGAAGCTTCGATTCCTTCCTGCTGACTTTGAGCAAGTTTTGTTCTAGCAATTTCAAGCTTGCAAACAAGGAAGTTGGACGGTTCAAGCTTACACGGAGGAATTCCTTCGACTTTCGGCCCGCAATAATCTTACCGAATCTGAAGCGCAACAAACCGCTAGGTATATCAATGGTCTACATTTGAATATTCAAGATCGTGTTTCGTTCCATCGTTTATACTCTGTCAAGGATGCGCAAGAGATGGCCAGGAAAGTGGAATTGTAGTTGGAGCGAAACAATTACTCAAGCAGAACGGGAAATTATGCTCCTCAAGGGCAATTCGAGCGAGGAAAATCGCAGGAGGGTGCTGAGTCCTCTAATCGGCAATTCAACAATACAAACCGAAATTTGGGGAGTAATGTTGGCGCCCAGACCTTCTGAATCCCCTGCGTCGAAGGCTCGTGATGTTGTTCCAAATCCTTATGCAAAGCCCTATCCAGGAAAGTGCTTTAAATGTAATGAACCTGGGCACCATTCGAGTGACTGTCCACGGCGGAAGATGGCGAATCTGGTCAAACCTGAAGATGAACTTTATGAGGAGGATTGGAGGAACGAAGAAGAGATAGTCGACGAAGAAGGAGAACATGTTAATTGCGTAGTTAGACGACTGTTGTTAGCCCTACGGAAGGAAGATTCGCAGGGGAATAACCTTTTCCGCACCCGTTGCACTATCAGTGGAAAGGTCTGCGACGTCATCATCGACAGCGAAAGTTGCGAGAATATCATATCGCAGGCGCTTGTCGATCATCTCCAACTAAAGACTGAAGTTTATCCCTCGCCCTATATGATCGGCTGGATTCGTAAGGGGCCGGAATTAAAGGTAATTCAGATTTGTCGTTTGCCTATTTCTATTGAAAAAATATATAAAGATACAATAATCTGTGATGTTGTTGAGATGGATGCATGCCACGTCTTGCTGG